TATGAACAATAAATTTTGTGCAGCCCGCTTGCGCCTGCCCCTTTGACTAATCTGTAAAGCAAGGTGCAAAGCTGCCGGTCTCTGGAGCATTATCTCAGTCCCTTGAGATTCTGGCTCCCTGGCCTGTGTCGACAGATTGGCTCAAATAAACTCACAAAATGTTCTTCACAGGTTTGAATGTTTTATTTACGTTAACAGACTTCAAAGGCAAATACAGAAAGTTAAATAGATGTAAGCAAAATTTAGTTCCTTTAAAATCAGGAAGACTTGGTTTACTTAAGCAGTCAAAGACCTGAGGATACGGAGCACAGAGAATAATTTTAATAAAACACAAATCTTTGCTTTCCCTTTATAATCTCTTATTAAGAGCATACCAACAGTACAATAAGACTTTGTCCTTTTAACACAGAGAGAAAACCGTATATAATTTTATGAAAGTGCACTTTTGCTATTAAAAGAAAGTTAACTTAAATAAATATATTCCAATCTTAGCTTGACCAGATGTAAAATTTCTTTTTCAAGATTTCTTTTCCACAAACCTTTACAACTTTAATAAACCTTCAACAATTTTCATATACCGTGCAGTTTTTGTCCTATCTTTACTTTAGGACAGAATTACTTTTTTTCCTCCTTTCAACAAAAAACAACCCCTCATGTCCTTTAATACCTTTTCTTATTTCAAAACACATTCTATTTTCCTTTCTCTCAATAAAAATGCATCCAATTCTCATTCCTTTTTCTACAAAAACATATATTAATTCCTTCCATATTAATTAGAATTCTTAACCCTTAGAAGCCTTAATTTCTAGTGAAAATTAAAAGTAAGCAATTATGAGTTACCATATCAACATTTATAAGTTGGCAAACTCACAAATACATTTTATAACCTCCAGAATATAGGCTCTCTTACTGAAAAATATACTTTATAGTATTTAGAAACATAAATCCTCAACAAAGCACATAATATATTCATTAGTGGGTTCAAATTTATCTTTTAGTTTCTTTGTAATAAGTCAGAAATAGATAGACTTATTTAACAATTAATGTTTCAGTGTTTTATCTTATTTGGAAATTATCTAGAAATTCAATAAATTTAACTTTACTCATCATTTAACTTAACTTGGCAAAACTCTATGGTTTCAAGTCACCAAAATATTTTGGAAAACGGTTTAAGTAGACATACCATAAAACAAATATTGCTGGAAAGTTCACCTAAAAACTTTTTATCCCATCTACATCTATTTATATTACGTGTCCTCAATAAATATGTTTAGGCTATTTCTGACAATTTCACCATACCATTATTTTTCTTGATGACGAATTTTGCAACAGAGAAACATGATTTGACTAATAAACCCCGGTAGAATAAAAGTATTATACTTAATTCTGATAACTCTGAAAACATGCTTATTTAACCAAACCAAACTTAAGTAACTTTAATATCAAGTATTTCCCAGATTATGTGATCCTGAAAAGCATTTGGGTTAGTTTCCATTATATTTTTGAGAATTTTTATGTAAGTGCTTAATTCCTTTAAGCCAATTAAACAGAACTCTTTACAAACTAATTCTAGTAATATCCTCTGGAGGTAGACATACACACATATATATAGACAGCCACAACCAGGGACCTGATAGTTTTCTTTTTAAAATTTTAGCCATGACAGGGGCAATAAGGCAAAAACCTCTACTAATTTATAGCAGTTGGAATAACTGAAGTTTACTAGTTCAGATGACTAAGGGTATTTTTTAAATTTAAATTTGTGGAGAAGACAATTAAGATTTATATTTGTCCTTGGGAAGGAAACTTGGAGCCAGAGTAACAGTTTGTGTTTTTTAAAAAAAACACTTGTTTTCTATGTTCTTTGTCAGTCTGAAGTATTGAGGATGGTAAAGAGAGGTGGGCTTTGAACTGCTTCTATAGTTGCATTTCTGGTTTTGCAAAGATTTGTACAATTAGAATAGTTACTCTCAGTTCCCAAAGGATTGGGTTGTCACTCAAGTGACATCATAGTCCAACTACATTATTCCTAATTTGCTACTTTCCCTCTGGATACATACTTTTATGTTAGCTTAGGGGAGGAGGCTTTAAAATAATTTCTATTAGGCTTTGAATCTGTAACTTCTAATTTTGCCAAATTTCTGTTCAAAAAGTTCTTAAATCCTTTTGTTGGTGGTGGTGTTAGATCTCGGCTCGTTAGTTCGACTAAGAAAGAATTCAGAGCCAAAAGCTCTAACACAAGAAGTGTATTTAAAAAGTCACAGAGGTAGAAGAAGTGAGCCAACTGGGCTGTGTGGACTCAGGAAATAAGGAGAGAGAGAGAGAGAAAGAGCGAGAGAGCACACTGGATCCCTTGCCTTAAGAATTTCAGTTTTCTAAAAGTAGAAATTTTAGGGCAGATCTCAGGGGAGAATCTCACTAGAATATTCATCAGCTTTCCAGGTGTGTCCTTTCAGGGTCATGGTCTCTACCGATTAGTCATTGCATCTGGTCCTGATGTCAGTCATGGCATCACTTCATCTGGTTTTTCTGCTTTTCTGGGCCTGGAGCTAAAGCACAACTGAGGCCTACATGTTATCTCTAGTTTAACCAAAGCTCTGTCTCTGTGGTCAACAGACCCAAGGCCTCGTTCCCAAGACTATTAGCTGGAGGTCAGAGCCTCATTGTCCTGAGGGCTTAATGCTTAAGGGAGTGGTCGTGCCAGGGCTTGTATGGGAGTCAGATGAGGCTCTTCTCCAGCCCCCTGTTCCTCCTCTAAAGGAGTCTAAACCATGACTAAGGATATGAAAAGTCAGGAGGCCTAAATTGCTAGGGGAGGAAAGGTCACCCTGGGGTAAGGTCCTGGCCTACAATATTTGTTTTTTTCTAGTTTTTGCCTGTTGCTAAACACCTGAGACTTTCCACTCTGGTGACATCCAGCACCTGGGCCTATTATTCCTGCTCCATGCCTGTCTAACTGCCTACTCAATCACTTTCAAATACCTGTCAGGTTTCAGGCAGGAGAAACAGTAAGAAATTTTAAAGCACCTGATCAGATGGCCAAGTTTCTTTTAGAGTTTTTTGTTGTTTTTTAAAGTCAAGTTGCCTTTTAGAAGCTTCTGCATGTCAATCAAAGAATGCATTTCATGGTCCTAGAGAGGTTTGGAATTCTCTCTTTTAGGGAGGGCCCTCAAGGTAGACTTAAAACAAAGTTTTTCCTGAATGGTGTTGATTGAAAATTAATATCGATTAGGTATTTTATCACCAAAAAGTGTTTATTCAGGAAAGAGTTGCAATCCAGTGCTCTCAGACATGGCAAGCCATGTGCACACTCTGCCTGGTGTGCCAAGAGGGGGAGGTACTTACCCAAGGGAAGGGGGAGTTAAGGGAAGAGGAAGTTAGAACCATAGTTATATGGAAGTTAGAACCATATAATAAAGTTAGAGCTTTATTATAAGGATACAGTTTTTCCTGTAGAGTTCTCGAATACTTGCTCAGTTGCTTAGGAGACTTTCATAAGCTCTAGCTGCTCCCATAGACCTCCCGACTAATTGTGTAGCTCCCTCCATAAATTCTCCAGACATTGTTTTTTCTTAAGGTTTCATCTAGTCTTTATCAATGGCCATTAGAGTTTTAAATTATTTTGGCTAAGTTGTTCCATTTTATTTAAAATAAAGGTCACAAGAGAAAGGACCAAAATGTAACTAGCTAGAGTTCCCAAGAAGGGAACTTTTGCAGGGTTCATGTTAAAGATTAATTCCCTGAAAGCTGTGGCCAGACAAAAACAAAATAGATGTTAAGAGTATATTTGAATCATTTTGTTTCTTAGAGGCCTTTAAATACCGGTTGCAAAATGCCTCCAATTTAGCTCGTTCAGCACTTCTTAAATCTCTAATTATGCACTTAAATATACTAATTTTGAAATCTCAAAAGATCCCCAGAGGGGCCACTGTAATTACTCTAAATTGTTCTTCTTATCAGAAGTCCATCGAGACAAATATGTAGCAGAAGATAGACCATAATTCCAGCTGGCCTTCTAGAGTGGAATTGTCCTGTAACAGACTTAGTTAGAAAGAGGGCACCCCAGCACAAAAACTGGTATCAGAGGGCCCAAGAATAAAAACTCTGAATCTTAACCGAAGGAAGGAGGTTTAGAACCAAGAGAGTTCACCACTGGAATCCCAGGGCTGTCAGGAGATGACAGAGCACAAAGGGCTCAAGCAGTTGCCTTGTTTCAGAAGCAAAGTGTTCTTTGGATCCCATGACACCTGACACTACAAATGTCGAACAAACTCAAAAAGGGTCTGGAGGCTTTGCTAGAAATAGATGATAATGTATGCAAGAGTCTTAGAGTTTGCAAACTGTAAAGACAACTAGGCCAAAACCCAGAAGTGTTCCAAAGAAGAGAGAAAAGTTGAGAGGTCGGTAAAAAGTGCTCCTTGAGAACAATCCGTCCTGCGTTCTTAGCTGCAGGATTGGTCCAGGGTGGGTGTCAGCCCTGTCGGTTGGTCTGGGTGATGGGTGCCAGGTGGTCTGGATATGGGAGTCCTTCAGGAGGTGATCAAAGTGTTATCTGGAGGTTTGATGGATGTACGAGCATTGATGCAGGACTGGAAAGTTCAAAAGTTTAACTTCCCAGGTTGTTAAAACAAGAAAAGAATGGTTGCCTCCTGCCTCAGCTACTTGATTTTAGTAATTGAGCGGCTCGACTATATACTGACTCCATTTTATTTCTTCACTTTATTCCTCAGACTTCTCACCTATTTGTGTTGAAGAACCTGTTTTTCTTCTTTTATTTCCAATCCTCTGAGGAGTGATGCTTTTGTGGAATATAATAAAAGCAAACTACTAAGAAAGTGAAATTAAAAGGGGTTTAC